TTCCTAATTTCTTGAAGAGTTCTCTATATTAATCTTTTGTATTCTGCCTCTGGTAATTCCAAGAAACTTTCCTTCTCTGGAAAATCTCTAGATTCTTTATTTTGGGAGCTTGCTGAAGCCATGATGGATTGCCTCTTTATGTGATTTCATATGACTGTTGTCTCGGAGCCATCAATAAGTTATTATATTTATTTATTTTATGTTTGCTTACTGTGTCCTCCTTCTTGTTTTGTTTTGATATGCCCAAATAGGCTGCTCGTATGAGCTAGTTTGATTATTGGCAACTTTGAAGCTGTTACCAGGTGGTTAGATATGTTACTAGGTATGTGAGCTCAGGAGTCCGCCCACTCCTGTATGGATTCAGCTCAGGTGCCCAGGTAGATAGCCACCAAGTGTGTGGTGTAGGCTCTCATTTACAGTCCTAGACAGGAATGGGTGATTGGTGCAGGCACAGGCATCTGGCTGCAGTTGGGGGACACACTCTGAGCAAGACAGGGGGCTGACGGCTACCCCCAAGTGTCCAGGAGGAAGGCGTGTCCCTGTTCCCTAGAGCACATAGGTGGGTGGGTTTTGGAGCTGGACTATGAGCAGCTATTGCTGTTGGCTGTAAGGACTGGGGGGCACCGCTTATTCATGGTTCCCTATTGCAGATGGCTAGATGGCGTGGGTGGAGCCACCAGTCCTCAGGCCCCTGACGTGGGTAGGTGAAGACCCTTCTTAATGGGCGGAGCAGTGTGAAATGTCAAGAACCTGCCACTTCACAGCTGAAACAGTTGAAGTTAGGCTTCTGATATGTACCCCATTGTACTGCGGGAATGAGGGCCTATGCTGTTGAAATGGGCCCACACAAGTCTATGCAGGGCGAAAGGCACTCAAAGTCCGTGGATCCCTTATGCCTGTGCCTAGGCAAAGGAGCTGTGCCTACCCTGGGTTCCTAGCTTAGGGGAGCCGGCAGTTTATTTTATCCCCTTTTTGTTAATTTGTTCATTCTCCAAGGCAGGGAGAATGGCTCCAGGTGTGTGACGGATCCTACTTCCAGCCCAGGGGACTCGGCAATTGCTGAAGCTGGTCCGGGACCCAGTGCGCAGCAGGGAGCGGGGAGGTAAATGGGAAAGAGGTTTTTCCCTAAGGGGGGTGTTTTTGATCCGCGCAGTAGGCTGTATGCAAATACTTATCTTTTGCCGATCCAGGGCTGCTTCTCACTGGTGCTGGGTGGCCATGTAGACACTCTGCCACTGGGTCTCTCATGGTGCAGAAAGCGTGCCTCCCGAGCACCGTTGCTTGCCTGCCTCACTGCTCACCGCTGAGCTGATCAGGCCTGAAGGGGTCAGGCTCTCACCGGGTCAGGTCTGGCTACTCCTCACTGCTTCCAAACTGTTTCTCCTTCCCCCTGCCACTCAGTCTGGTTCCTCAACTCTACCTTTGATGTTCAGGGCTCCCAGATTGCCACATATAATCAATTCACTTGTTTTTTTCGGGTCTTTATTGTAAGAGGGTCCACCGGAAGCGTCTGACTACTCTGCCATCTTGCCCCACCTCTCCTTATTGTTGTTTCTGTTGACACTTAATTGACAAACCCATCAACAGCTTAAAAAATCATACATTTTGATATTCGTATGGAAATTCTCCCTCTTTTCAACTCCTAGACTTACTCCCAGGTTGATAAAGTTCCTCAGTGTTCACTCTTTGTGGGAGGCAGTGCTTCCAGAAGAAGTTATGTGTGCTGTATAAACACAGAGCTTTGAAGATCATTGGTAGGCACCGTGACAGCATCTAGATGCTGGTCAGAAGAATGCTGCTGGGTTTCTACCTTTATCTTCCTCCCTTCCTTTGTTTTCCAAATATATTTGACATTTTAGAGCATCTCTTAACTTGGAATCTCACCACCAAAAAGAAGAAAAGAGGCCATAATGAACAAAATTTAGTAGCTGTCCTAAGTTGGGCTTCCTAGACGCAGAGTCTGAGACCGAAATTCTGCTGCAAGTGATTTATTGAGAGAGTGTTCTCAGGGAAAACCTATATGTACGGGAGTAAGGAAAGCAAGAGAGGACAGGGCAAGAAGCTAGGCAAAAATGTGGTGTCTGGAGAAGTGTGACTTCAGCCCAGTTCCAATGGGAAAAATCACAGAGTTTGTCCCACCCAGAGGCTGGGGGATGAGGTGGAGGGCTGGGCTGTTATATCCTTGCTTCCGTCAGTCATTTTCAATGGGCAGCCACCCATCAGGGGTATACTAATATCCCATGCAACTCTGGGTGAGGTGTTTCCCATCAGCCAAGGGCAGTTCTCCAGAGGAGGGGATAGGTGAGCCCACTGTTAGAACCCACTGGCAGCAGCTGGGAGAGGAATGGGCCAGGCTGAGGAAGGGGACTGGGACAGAGCACCCAGCATTTGCTACAGTAACTGTTGGTGGTGCATTCATTGACTGATGTATTTTTATTTTGTTCAGCTATCCAACTTTTTTTCGTTTATGTTGGAAAACTATACAGATGAACGTGAGGAAGATCCAGGTAAGTAAACATGCTCAGTCTTTTGAAAAATAGTCATTAACTATTGAGTTATCATCATCAAGAGTTGTAAATTCTGAAGATGGAAGAACACTAAGAAATTAAAAAGACCCACCTGTCTTGCCTATGTGACACCAAACAACTGGTGAAATCAGTTCAACTGGCTTTTTTCCTTTCTGAACAGTGCAAGCAAAACTGGCCACTTAGAATTCTCACTTTTCAAAAAACTGACTTAGATTTCATTCAGCATTCATTTGTTGAACCCCTTCCCTGAACCACAGTCTATTGATGTGCAACGGTAGCTTAGTACAGAGGATCTTATTTTTCATCCACAAAACTTTTGTGCTGAGAGTTCAAAATATCTCCACTATTTCATGTAGCAGATTGGGGAGAAATGACATACTTAACACAGTTGGCTCAATCATCTCTCAGTTGTCTGTCTCCCTCTCTCTATAGGCATTCCGAAGCAGAGACAGGCAACATAGGTGTGGTTCACAAATGATTTTAAATTATAATTATTCACGAGGCATGTATTTCCCTAGCAAATTAAGATCTCCAAGGTAGATGTGAGACTTAAAAACTCCCTTTTCTTTAGTTTGGGCCAACCATTGTTTTGCTCTAATTAAAATGTGCATGGCAGTAAGAGTATATTTTAAATAATCTGATAAATACCCTTCAGTTTGGTGAAAGAATGGTGCTTTAATGGCACGATTTGAGCTAAGTGCATGTGTCTGAAACTAATTAAAGCCTTTAATGATCTGTAGAAGCTTTCTGAATGGTGAAATAGCCAAACCTGAGGAGTGGGGAGTGGGTGGAAGTGGGTACTTTGCCATTTTCTTTCTTTTAGATAATTGCAATTTGAAGACAGTTGTTTGCGCTTCATGTTCTTTGGCAAGAATATTTTGGGGAGGAAATATAATAATGATTAAATGAAACAGCACTTTTTCTGCTAATGACCTAGTATTTTAATCCAGACTGTGCATCAGAATCACTTATGGAGTTTCATAGCCACAAATGGCTGGGTTCCAACCCAGAACTATTTACTCAGACTCTGTATTTTTAAAAATATGCATTTAAAAAATTTCTCCAGGTGATTTAAAAATGTTAAAAAATACGTTTGCCAAAGAAGGGGACAGTGGTTTAATCTTCTTGTTTAAACTTTTTCTTGGAGTGTAACATATATCATAGAAAAGTACACAAATCATAAGCCTATGACTCAATAAATTTTCTCTAAGTAAACACAGCCATGTGACCTGCACGTAGAACAAGAAATAAAATGTCATCAGAGCCACAGAAACCCTCTCCTGCCCCCTTCCAGTTACTACCTAGCACCTATACCACCCCTGTAACTCCTTTTGTGACTTCTGAAAGGTTGGTAGTTCGAACCCACCCAGAGGCTCCGTGTGAGAAAGACCTGGTGCTCTGCTTCCATGAAGATTACAGCCTAGAAAACACTATGGGGCAGTTCTACTCTGTCACATGGGGTCACTCTGAGTCAAAATCAGCTCGATGTTACCTAACAACAACAACACACCCTGGATTAATTTTACTTGTTTTTGAACTTATTTATATAATTGGAAGCATACAGTGTATAACTCTTTTGAGTCTGGCTTCTTTTGCTCAGCATTATATTTGTGAGAGTCATCGATGTTGTTGCAGTTTGGTCATTCTTGTTGCTGAATAGTATTCCATTTTATCAATATGCCATCATTTATCTGTTCTATTCTGTATGGACGTTTGGGTTGTGTTATGGATTGAATTGTGTCCCTCAAAAATGTGTGTCAACTTGGTGAGGCTATGATTCCCAGTATTGTGTGATTGTCCACCATTTTGTGATCTGATGTGATTATCCTATGTGTTGTAAATCCTAACCTCTATGATTTAATGAGGCAGGTTTACAGGCAGTTGTGTTAATGAGTCAGGACTCAATCTATAGGATTAGGTTGTATCTTGAGTCAATCTCTTTTGAGATATAAAAGAGAGAAGCAAGCAGAGAGGAGAGCGAATTCATGCCACCAAGAAAGAAGTGCCAGGAGCAGAGTGCATCCTTTGGACCTGGAGTCCCTGTGCTAAGAAGCTCCTAGACCAGGCGATGATTGATGATAAGGACCTTTCCCCAGAACCAACACAGAGAGAAAGCCTTCCCCTGGAGCTGGCACCCTGAATTTGGACTTCTAGCCTCCTAGACTGTAAGAGAATAAATTTCTGTTTGTTAAAGCCATCCACTTGTGGTTTTCTGTTATAGCAGCACTAGATAACTAAGACAGGTTGTTTCCAGTTTGGGCAACTTAAATAGTGTTGCTATGCACATTCTTGTATGTGTTCCTTATGGTGAACATATGTATTCATTTCTTTTGCTATGTACTCATTTTCAGTTATCTATTGCTGCATAACAAACAAAATTTGGTGGCTTAAAAACAACAGCCATTTTATTGCTTGTGATTCTGTGGGTCAGAAATTTCAACAGGGCTCATAGGGATGGCTTTTCTGTGTTCCATGTGGAGTCATTTGGGCTCACTCCGAATGGTTTTACTCACTTGTCTGAGACTTTGATGTTGTCTCTTAACTTAGATGCCTTGCTTCTCCTCATGTAGCTTCTCTGTGCAGCAGAATATCCTGGGATACTTTACATAGTGGCTGTGTCCCAAGAGGGCAAAGGCAGAAGCTTCAAGGTCTCTTAAAACTAAACACTTCAAGGGACAGAGTAACAGGGGTGGAGGTCTGGGGACCATGCTTTCAGGGGACATCTAGGTCAGTTGGCATAACAAAATTTATTAAGAAAATGTTCTGCGTCCTGCTTTGGTGAGTGGTGTCTGGGGTCTTAAAAGCTAGTGAGCTGCCATCTAAGATGCAATTGGTCCCAACCCACCTGGAGTAAACGAGAATGAAAAACACTAAAGTCACAAGGAAAGCATTAGCCCAAGAGACAGAAAGGGCCACATAAAGCAGAGATGGCAACAGCTTGAGACCAGAAGAACTAGAGGGTGCCTGGCTACCACCAATGGCTGCCCTGACAGGGAACACAAGAGAGAGTCCCTGTTGGAGCAGGAGAAAAGTGGGGTGCAGAACTCAAATTCTAGTAAAAAGACCAGGCTTAATGGTCTGACTGAGACTTGAGGAACCCCAGAAGGTATGGCCCCCAGAGTCTTTGTCAACCCAGCACTAAAACCATTCCTGAGGCCAACTCTTCAGTCAAAGATTAAACTAAACTATGGGACATAAAATGATACTCAGGAAGAGTGTGCGTCTTAGCTCAAGTCAATACATGAGACTAAATGGGTAGCTCCTGTCCGGTGGTGAGATGAGAAGGCAGAGAAGGTCAGGAGCTGGTTGAATGGATATGGGAAATCAGGGGTAGAAAGGAGGAGTGTGCTGTCACAGTATAAGGAGAGCAATTAGGGTCACATAGCAATGTATGTATAAATTTTTGTATGAGAGACTAACTTGAATTGTAAACTTTCACTTAAAGTACAACAATAAAGTAAAAAAAAAATAATAAAAAAAGGTCTCTTAAGGCCTATGCTCTAGAACTCACAAAAAACCAGTTCTGCCATATTCTATTGATCAAAGCAAGTTACAAGGCCAGCTGCAGATTCAAAAGTGTTAAAAAGGATCCATCTCTTGATTGGTGGAGTGGCAGAATTACATTGTGAAGGGACCTGGACACAGGGAGGCATGATCCATTGGGGGCCATTATTATAAAGATGTTCCACAACCCAGGAGGGGAATTTCTGGCTTATAGGGTAAGCATATTCAGTTTTATTAGATACTGACAGTTTTAAAAAATTGTTGTACCAAGTTATACTACCACCAGTGTATGAGAGTTTCAGTGGTTCCTAACACTTGGGATTGTCTGTATTTTATATTTTAGCCATTCTGATAGGTATGTAATGGTACCATATTTTTGCTTTAATTTGCATTTCCCTGATGAGCAGTGAAGTTGCTCACCTTTTCATATGTTTATTGGTTACATGGATATCCCTTTTGGTGAAGTGCCTGTTCAGGTTCTTTGCCCATTTTTCTATTGGTTTGTCTGCCTTTTTCTTATTAATTTGTAGGAATTCTTTAAGTAGTCTACATAAGAGTCTTTGTTAGATAGGTGTATTGCAAATATCTTCTCAGAGCCTTTACCCCCCCATCTTTAAATGGTGACTTTTGAGGAATGGATATTCTTAATTTTAATGTAGTATAATTTCTCCCCTTTACTATTTCTGTACGGTGCTTTCTGTATCCTGTTTAAGAAATCTTTACTTGATATGAGAAAATATACATATACCAGTTTATTTGTGAAGGAGTCCTGGTAGAGCAGTGGTTAAGCGCTCGGCTGCCAATCCAAAGGTTGGCAGTTCGAATCCATCAGCCACTCCATGGGAGAAAGATATGGCAGTCTGCTTCGGTAAAGATTACAGCCTTGGAAGCCCTATGGGGCAGTTCTACTCTCTTCTGTAGGGTCACTATGAGTCGGAATCGACAGCAGTGGGTTTGGTTTGGTTTTGCTCATTTGTGCAAGAATAAATACAAGAAGGATAAACCAGAAACTAACGAAATTGTTTACCTACAGGGAATGGGTAGGAATAGGGCAGAAAGAATGGGAGAACGGGTTGAGTAGAAGGAACGAGGCGGGAGTGACATTTCTTTGAGTATATCTTTTTGTATAGTTTTGACTGTTAGAACCATGATAATGTTTCACATCTGTAATAAAAATAACTAAATTATTAAAACCAGAAAGTGTGTGTGTGTATATGTATGTATGTATGTATGTGTGCATGTAATCCCAAAATGGAATACAAACTGTGAAAATTGAACCTAACTGTATTACAAATTGTCTTAGTCATCTAGTGTTGCTATGACAGAAGTACCACAAATGGATTGCTTTAACAACGAAAAATTTATTCTCTCACAGCCTAGTAGGCTAGAAGTCCAATTCAGGGTGCCAGCTCCTAGGGAAGGCTTTCTCTCTGTGTCAGCTCTGGAGGAAGGTCCTTGTTATCAATCTTCCCCTG